TGTATTACTACTATATTGGGGCTGCGTTCATACTTTTCGTCGGCGTTTTGAGCGATACAAAAGCCTAAAAACGCCGCCGTACGCAGATCGATACACATACTTTGTTAGTCGCTCAAGACGCTGCTGTACCTCGAAACGGTGACGCAAAGAATGAACGCGCTCCAGAGCCGCGTTCATACTTTTCGTCGGTGTTTCTAGCATTTCGGGGGAGGAAAATAGAGTAAATGATCCAGCGAATGTTTTGAGCGGAAGTGCGTTCTTTCCTTTGCTAAAAACGCTAGAGCTTCTCCCCAACACTCAAAATGCTGACTTTTCATCTAGAACGCTGGGTCGATAACCAAACTTCCCTTTTCGCCCAAAACGCTCAGAACATTCACAACCTTCAAAACACTTGAAACGCTGTCGAGAAGTATGAGCTTAGCCCAAGCTTTCCTCTATACAAGTGGTAAAACATCCCCAGAGCGGAACATCAGCTGAACTTCGTGCATTTCTAGTAATTCAGTGACGAATGACCGAATAACGTTACACACTTAGTATACAGCTAACAAGAACAAAAAGCAAACAGTCGAAATGTTTTGCGAACCTTTTTAGACAAGGAAGCCGAGCAATTCGGCGGACTTTTTTCTCGAAGACCGAGAAGCCCTTCGAGCGAAAAAAAAGTCCGCGGAATTCCTCAACCCAAACAGGTTTATGGAGCGTTGCAACGATCTGAGAAACATTAATGCACTGGAATTCTATGATATCATGAGCAGAACATCAATGACTAATTTGGAGTCTAATCGAGGTCGAACTCGCTGTGCCGCTGGAGCCAGCCACCAGCAGCAGCAGCGGAGTTCAATGATGGGTCCCGCCACGATCCGATTAAAGGGCTCGTTAGACGTGTGCCACGGCAATCAAATCGAGGTCACAGCTCAAATTCCTCTTGCCATTCCGTTAGTTTATTTTAGTGGTAATCAATCAACTGGTTTCTTTGCTGTGAATTCGTCGAAACGCCAGGAATTAAGGTATCCATCCAATGGATTCGAAAGCCAGAGGAAGTTTGCTGAGTTTTTGTGGGATGCCGATTTGATTTGATTTATTGCATGAGCGAAGCATCAGTTGCAAAGTGGAAAATTAGTGTTTTTTATGTACTGCCGCGACATTGTAATTGGGATATGATCTGGTCCAAGTTGAATGCAGTTGCAACTCTTCATCGATTTTTCCCCATTTGAATGTCCAGTTTTAATTTTGTGTTCCGCAGACTTGCCATTATTCAGTGAAAGTGGCGAAAACCATTTTTTTTCAATGAATGATGATTTTGGAAACTTGTCCTCAATCATGTAAGAAGTCGATGTCATAAGAATTAACAGAGCTCTGGCTTTGAGCTTTGGGTACTGACCGAATTGCTTTCTAGAATACACCGTGTACACTACTTCCATCTAGAATCGCAGTACCTCTCTGAATGCGACTTTGCACAAACGGTCTTATTCGCTGCAAACAGGGTACGGCATCGTTGTGTGAAACAAGGGGGCGTACTTTTCCGCTGGGGAGGGGGAGTCGTATGTGCCTTTAAGAGCAATTTGCTGCGTTGGGAAAAAATTTTTCCTGGTTGTTGACTTTTCGCGTGATTTTTCCTGTTTCATGTGTACTATATATGCCCCTCCCCCCTCAACAGTGAAATTTTTGGGGAAAAGAAGAAAATTTCCGGGAGATTCCGGAAAAAGTGGTAGGAACTTCAGGAGAATCTAAGAAATTTTCCCGTTTCACATTGGCCATATACCCCGTCGTACCGAGACCCCATTTAGGTGGGGGTCGTACTGACACCCTCTCTCGGAGGGGGTTGTACCTACACGACCATTTCACACATCACGATGCTGTACGCTGGCTGCGAACACTGGGGCGTGTCACAGGGCTAGATTTGGCGCGGCTCGAGTACGTTTTCCACCAACTATAGTCGCTTTCCCCTCTGTAGTCACGCCATACCCTTTTCCCTGGGCACACTCCGGCATCCATAGCGAGCAAAACCGTAGAATGACTTGCACGGGCGATGACTTCACTGTTCTGCTCTCTCGAAAGAGTTTGGTGAAAATTAGCTGACCTCGGTCAGAAGCCGACCAAATTGGTCCCTCCAGTGAGCGTGTGATAAGCTGCGTTTTCGCTAGTAGAGCACCTCTGCCCATAAACGACTCGAACAAGTCTTAAGTTAAATTCCCCCAAAATTCGTCTATTAAGAACGGTTATATTCGAAATTAAAAAAAGCTGTGTTGAACTGACACAGATCAACCAATAACAATTTTCAGCGCTATTCCAAGAAAATAGGGCATTCTGGCAAAGTAACTAGATCTACGAGCAAAATGCACAGTTCACCATTGTTGCCGGGATTCCTGGATGAGGATGAGTGGTGAGGGGGAGGGCGAGGAGGTTATCGCTATTTCAGACGCGCAATCCCCCTCCGTCTAACCCCTGATCACTGTCGTCGCTGTTTTACCATTCCGGAATTTCTGGTAGCTAATCAGTATTATTATACTGTTGTGGAGTTTTTTTAAAGAACATCCAGCTATTGCTGAGAGTAGAATGGAATAAATAAAGTAGAAAAAATTACAGTTTTTTTTGGGGGAGGGGGTTTGGTGGGCTCAAAGAGTGAAATGCGACCTCAAATATACACCTGAGGAAGGGGAGGACAGGAGTCTGTTCTCCCTTTCCCTTCAGATGAATGTTGGAGGTCGTATTTCCAAATCTCCGCATCAACATAGTGCGCCCTGACAAAGGAATTGTTTCATTTGTTTAGGAGTTCGCTCTCCCCAGAACTTTAAATTGTTCCCGAAATGGAAATCGTTTCTTCATATTTTTTCTGAAACTCTATTTTCTGGAGTATAAGGCACACCTTCGGTTCGAATGCTGCAAAAGTTCCTTCCTCACTTTAACTTTGCGCGTTTTTTTTTGTTCTTACCCATTTTTGTGATCTACATTCGGTAATGTGCTTGAAAATCAACTGGAACATCAAACTATGCAGAAAAGACACGAACACTATTGATGGGTCTACATTCGCGCGTGTTGTCGCGTGCTGCTCTGTGAAATGCGCCTTATATCCTAAAAAATAGGGTAGTTTGAAAGAAAAACGTGAAATCTGTTGAAGGGATGGAGTGGACCTCAGCGTCTCGAATTACGTGCCAGACAGGGATTGAAGATCCGTCGTTCAGTTCCGGAAGAACATACAGAAAACGTCACGAAAGAGAAGTGAGCAGCTTTGAACTTAAGCACGCCTGAAATAGCAGCGGTCCACTAGGGTATACCGAAGCCTATGATTTACTCTCAAAACAAGTAGTTTTGCTCTTTTCTAATTTGTAGCAATTTATTCCTACGTTGTATACAGAAGTACTTGCCACAAGATCAAGACTGTATACCTCACATCGCAGATGTGGGGAGGCATGGCTGCGTACTTCATTTAAATATCGCAAAGGATATTTGAACATATCGATATTTTATAATTGGTAGCAGATATTGATATTTTCTAATTTGTGGCACTTTGTTCCTACGTTGTATACAGCAGTCACGAAAAGGAAATAAGCAACTCAAAACTTAAGCATGCCTAAATAACAGCAACGGTCCACTCTGGGTATTCTGAAGCCTATGATTTACTCTCAAAATAAGTAGTTTTGAGAGTAAATCATAAGCAAGGTGGTACATTTTCATCTGAGATTAATGCCATTTTTCCGGTGCTACACAAGCGCTTAAAATTGTCCGATCGTCAGCATCCTACCACGAGCGCAGTCACCGCCTGATTGGGATAGCAGCCACGCCCACCTCATCTCCGGGATATGGGCTTTATTTGCATAGTGGTGGTAGAAGAGGGTGGTAGAAAGTAACAGATGTGAACGCTGTTTGTAAACACATTGCGCGAAGCCTTTTATCGCGATTAGGCTTTAGCATCTTTTCGAAGACCATCTGGTTCACACTTTCTATTTTCTCATGAACTTGAACATCATACATCTTCTTCGCGGCAAACGCTGAGGCGTGTCATGCTGGGTTTGGCGCTGCGCCAGCCATTTGTTCACCAATTGTAGTCGCCTTCAGCTTGCAGAACCGGTGAAGAGGAGGCTGGCGCCGCGTCAACGCCGTTCTCACTGACGCGTCCCATTATCCACAGCCAAAAGACTGTAAATTAGTTTCCCTGTGTAGTAATTTCTATTGCAGTTTCCGTGTTTCAACGTTTTTTATTCCGAGATGTTTGCTCTAATTTTTGGCCCAATCTTCAAATAAGTGTCGAGAAAGTTACGTTCAAATGCGCTGATCTCCAGAGAACATAAGCGGCATCTCAAAAAAAAACAATTCTGCGTGTTCAAGCGACGCCTATGAGCGGGTATTAATATGGAAAGCTATTTAGAAAGCGCATAATGTAGTCAGGTTAGCCTTTTCACGATCACGACGCGTGCGCCATTGATGGACCTCATTTTGCCGTCAGCGGCATTGCAGTTGTACCAAGTACACTAAAACTGCTAAAATTAATCGCTTACTCGAAACTGATTGTTTAAAAATGCGCTCTTTCGAGGTCTGTGGCCCTTACCAGCTGCGAGGAGCTATTCATAACTGATATCACTTTCTCCACTCGAAGGTGCGCCGAATTGAGGATGGATGATACTGACAGTTAGAGCGCGTTCAGACTTCGCGATCGCGCGATCGGATCGTGCGATTCGATCGCGCGATCCAAGCGATCCGATCGCGCGATCGCGAAGTCTGAACGCGCTCTTAGCGTCTCAGGGCACTTGTCAACCGAGGAGCCTCTCCTCTCTTTCCTTTTTTCTTCCTCCCTTCTTCTTTTCCTTCCTTCCTTCTCTGATCCCTCCTCCTTTACCTTCTCCCTTCAACTACTGGTAGATGCCTCGTGAAAATAACCCTGGACCCTCGCAGCGAGAGCACGTCTGGTTGACAACAGCCCCGTAACCGGTAGTTAGCCGCCGTTTTGTACCCCACCCACAGGCAAGCACGCAGGCTCAGCGTGCCGCACGCGCTGACCACATATCCACCTAGCTATAGCCAGACGTGATGCTTGTGTGCCCCGTTTCATGTTTCGTTGTTCTTTAACTTGACCGTGATGGGCAGTTTGCCGCTCAATGTGTTCGTGCGGGACCTCGACGTGGACGCAAGTGTCGCATTTTGGGGATAACGAGTGGAGTCCAAAACCGCATCCAGCTGTCACAATCCTCCGGCTTCGTTTCTAGGTACATTAGAGTGATGAAAGTGGCACACTTCTACAACTTCTTGCGATTAAATAAATTTGGGTTTCTCCTGCTGGAAGGTGTTGTCAGTAGTGCCCTAATAATGATGCACTCGCTGGCAGGGCGGAGGCGATCTTTTGTAAATTGTAATTTTTTTTCTTCTGGTTATTTACTTTGTTTTTTATTGATTCGACTACTCAATGCCCATACTTCTGCTGGTATGTTTGTTGTTCGTTATGTTCATTTCAATCGTTTATTCGTTGAAGTAAATACCATCAAGCTAGCAAGTTAGATTTGTCAGACAGTTGTCGTTATAGGAGGGTAATGACGACAGAGACGGGGTTCTTTCGGGGGAATTCATTGGGTTGACATCACTGCTGACGTTTGCCATCTTGTCACTAGCATGGTTCGTTGGATTCGCATCGAGATTGTTCGCCATTGTCCGATTCGAGTCGATCATTCATGAGTTCGATCCCTGGTGAGTTATGTTTAAGTTATGTTTTCTTGCAGGTTTTTATAATTGTTCCCTGTATATTTTGTTCTCATAACTGTAATGCTGCAGGTTCAATTATCGCGCAACGGCCCACATGGTTCAACATGGCTATTATAATTTCCTCAATTGGTTTGATGAGCGAGCATGGTATCCACTTGGAAGAATCGTTGGTGGAACGGTAGGTTATAGTTGGTATTTTCTTTTGAGAAAGGACACGTTGTAAACATTGAATATGATAAATATTACCTGAATCCATTTGGGAAGGGTGCCAGTCCAGAGATATTAAATATTGTTAACTCATACGTTTTTGTAATGCCAAGAACGCTGAGCTATACGCGACGTGGTCCTGGTCAGGTTGAACCTAGTCTTCTTACTTACAGCCTGTGATCTGATAAGCCATGGCAAAGTAAGGGATGGAAAAGCCACTCTGTAGTTGTAGTGATTAGCTTAGTAGCGTAGTAGCGAGTCTAGGCAGGTTTCAGGGTTCCCCTTCACCGGATATTCTATCGCTGTGAGATTCAAGAGGTAATTTCTCTGTAGATCTTCCTTCCGAGCATTTGAAGGGAGGAAAATAAGGAGGAAGAAAGAGGAAAGGATGGAAGGAAAAGAGGGAAGGTTGCTCCGCGGTTGACAAATAATATGAGGTAGCCTTTTGCCCGTAGCTCAGCATTTTTATGAAATCTCTTACATGGCAAACCACGGCGATAAACAGTGGTTGGCATAATTAAGTCAAATTTGAACGGAATGAACGTTTTCTCATTTAGGTGTACCCAGGTCTGATGGTCACATCAGGTCTGATCCACTGGATTCTCGATACACTGAATTTCCATGTCCATATCAGGTAAGTTATGTTAATTGGTCTGCGAATGTGTTTGTTAGCTCATATGGCCCTCCTATTTGATAGTCAGTATATCGTGCGGCTGAAAAAAATTTGGTACTCCTGTATGGCTTATCCCTAACTTTTAACGTCTGTTTGATAACATTTGGCGTGGGCGTTCGAAGTTGGCGCTACTGTTGTTGAAGGTGCCACGCAACGTACGACCAAGTCTACTATTGGCTGTCAAGTACAGTCCTCGCGAACACTTTCTGTTTGCATTTTCCAAGCGCTGAAAGAAAGGAGACCGCATAGTCGCGCCGTTACGTGGTACTTCTCAACTACTGTCGCGCCTTGTAGTCTTTGTCTGTTACACTAGTGGTTAGGTGATGTGAAGCTTTTCTCTTCCAGGGAGATTTGTGTGTTTTTGGCACCAACCTTCTCAGGTTTGACAGCCATCGCTACGTATTTCCTGACCAAAGAGTTGTGGTCACCTGGAGCTGGTAAGATTTAGTGCTGCTGGTGTGAAAAACTTTTATTGCGTACCTATTATTGATATTATATAATTCAGAATGTATATCTGATACTGAATTTCAGGGCTATTCGCGGCTTGCTTTATTGCCATATCTCCTGGATATACTAGTCGTTCCGTAGCTGGTTCCTACGATAATGAAGGAATTGCCATTTTCGCCCTTCAGGTAAGTTTTCACCGCAACTTTGTGTTAGAACTTTGATTCAAGAGTCTCAAGAGTCCCATGAGGGCTTTACTGTTTAGTTCACCTACTTTTTATGGGTGAAATCTCTGAAGACTGGTTCGGTAATGTGGGCTTCCTTCTGTGCCCTATCCTATTTCTATATGGTATCAGCGTGGGGAGGCTACGTCTTTATTATCAATCTTATTCCACTGCATGTTGTTGCACTGATTCTCATTGGTGAGCTGCTGTTTTCTACAAATTAAAAATCTCGGAAAAAATAAATCTGAGGAGTCTTTCGCAAATCAGTTTTTGCATTTTTGCGCGAAGCCCCCACTACCACTCCTTAGAGATGTATTTCTATTTTTCTTTCTCTATTCATCTTGTTATTATTGTGTTTTTTTTATTGTTCGCGGCAGAAAAAAAAGGTTGGCTGCTTGGGAGCGGGGATTTCAATGAGATCTACTGAGTGCAGAGATTGGTACAGCGGGCGCTTCTCGCAAGAATGCAAGAAAAATCGTTTTGCTAGAGAATCCTTCCTTTTTTGCTATTTGGAATTTGCTATTTTTCTAGCTAAATTTTTGAATTTTCTTGTAGAGAATTGTAGAGAAAGCATGAATTTTGAAGGTCGTTATTCGTCACGCCTTTTCGTTGCCTACACCACTTTCTACTGTCTTGCCACGGTGTTATCAATGCAGATCCCTTTTGTCGGCTTTCAACCAGTGCGCACATCCGAACACATGCCAGCGTTTGGCGTCTTCGGTCTTCGGTTTCTATCAGGGGGCTACTTTCAGGCCCTTGTCTTTTGCTTGAGATGCTTATGTTGTACTCGGTATTTTTGATATTTTTGTGTTCAGATTGTTGCTGCAATGCAGTACGCCCGTCAACGTGTATCTCGTCAGCAGTTTATGACCCTGTTCGTTGGTGGATTGACTGCAGTTGGTTGCCTAGCATTCGTCGTCTACTTCGCTTTGGTCTGGGGAGGTGAGTGAGGCTTGTTTACTTATCTGATACTTGTAAAAAATGGCATGGAACGAGTAAACTACGCTCACGCCGGACGGGGCCGGGGGATGACACGCCAAGACTACATGATCGCCTTGCGAACGATTTCCTCTTCCAACTTTCTAACGGTGCTATTCACTGTAGTTGTCATTTTATCAGACTGTAAGCATCACCTTTATCCCACTTTTACTTATATAAATAATAAAAAGCTGCAGGGAAGCTTTGCGAAAGAGGTGATTCCCAAAATGTTTCGTTCACCAACAGCGTTGGTCGCTTAACTATTCCGATAATCTAGTTGCCTGCCTAAAAAGCTGGCCTGTCGTCACCTAAAGACGAGTGTAAGTGACACTTAAGCGAGGTTCAACTACGGCTTGCTAGCCAACTAATGTACAGCGCGGGTTTCCTGGAAAGCCATGTTTTGATCAAAAGAGAAAGCTTATTTCCGTAGTGTGGCATAGTTTTCTAGCAGATGTTTCTTGTCTGTTCTTTTACCCCCAGGTGGACCCCCAGATTCGGCGATTCGAGAGGTTCGCCGATGAGGTTGCGCGGTGAGGAAAGTGGAACTGTCGATTGGCGCCGGTTGCTTGCGAATGCTTAAATTCGGCGATTCGGCGATTTGGGAGATTGAGCGATCCCGCGATTCCCCAATTCACCGAATATTTTTGATCGCAAAGTATGAACGCGGCCTAACACTGCCATGGATTAACGCAAGGGTGAAAAGAAAAAGTTTCCATACCTACGGGCAATCATTTCTGTTCTAGGATACGTTGCTCCATTCTCTGGTCGTTTCTATTCTCTGTGGGATACTGGCTATGCAAAGGTTTGTGATAGTTGTGCATTATATGTTGCGAATCCTCGAATTCCTCTCTTTACAGATTCATATCCCAATCATTGCGTCAGTCTCGGAACATCAACCCACAACCTGGGTATCATTTTTCTTTGATCTACATATCACAGCGGCTGTATTCCCAGTCGGAGTGTGGTACTGTGTGAAGAATGTTAATGATGAGCGTGTCTTCAGTGAGTTAATCGATATACTCCATTTTTTCGAAAGGTCTAGCTGCGTTAAACAATTACTTGTTTAGTTATCCTTTACGCGGTGTCTGCCGTGTATTTTGCCGGTGTGA